TTGAGAAATTTTGACCTTAAAGTTTAAAAGATAAAGTAACCCGTATTTTGGAAAACTATATGTATGTGTGATAGCTATGAAATTTTGGAATATACTAAAAATAATAATATTTTATGGTGTTTGAGAAGGTGAACTATTTTGTAAATTGTGAGTTACATTTTTTTAGGATATGTGTTGAAGGTAAGTCCCGTAGATCCGAAAGCCCAACACGAACTTTGGATATATCAGGAATGGTACATAATCAAAGTGTATAACCAAATATAAAATATGAACTCACTAATACTCAAAAGCCCACTCGTATTAATTAACCTGTCTGATTACAAGGAAATTACCGATCGGTAGGTCGGAATAATGCTGTAATACAAGAAATAAGAGCAATAGTGTTATTCTAGAGCCTGAGTATTGAAATGCTAACCCTTACAATGATTTTAAACCTTCTATTTATACTAATGGAGAGCATGGGTTGTTCTATGCTGATTGGCTGTTGTTCCACCGACTTGGTCACCCATGTTTCCACTTGTTGATGTCACAATCTAGCATTAATTGCACCTGGCCACTTGCCGGTTGCCCGTTGCTCGAACGGGATGTTGGACCATGCTGAAGACGCTGTCAATTTGGCCCAAGTATGATATATAGTCCGAACTCCATTCGGTATATCTTCTTACTGGGCCAACCCTTACTTGGGCCGAATCTCGTTCGGCATGAATTCTTCGCTGGCTCTACTCATCATAGAGTGATGGGCTTGTTGTTTGGGCCGGGTATCTTGGGCCTTTTTAATCCGGGTATTGGGCCTCTGGATCAATATCCCAACACAAGTCCCCCACTTCCGATGTCACGAATGACAGTGAGTGCATTAGAAAGTATGAGCACCAATGTTGCAATTTGCCGAATGGCGATCGGGGTACAGAAGTAGTCAATTCCCCACACTGTGATTTGACGGCTGTCGTTTTATTTCCCCATACTCATCATGATAACCGTCGTTTAGTCTTTTCATTGGACACACGTTTAGCTTAAATGCTTCTGATGGCGTGTCGCTTCCTGATTGGTCCTCGATACGGCGATTTAAAGGCTATAAATTAGCCCTTAACCTTTCAAATCCGGGTTTCGATTCTGCAATCTCCCTCGCATCGTTGCTCCCTCTGAAATTTCTTCCAGCTTTCGTCGCTCAGGTACCTTCCCTCCCTCTATTTTCTCTCCTCATTTCTGGCTCGGTCGAGATGAGTTCTCAACGGCATTCTCCTGATTCGGAGATGACCTCCCATGGAGATGACCGTGACGTTGCTATCGTGGATGTCATCACATTCCCATTCGCCGGTGGTTCTACTGAAACGGCGACAAATACTAGGGCTGAGGCGGAGGACCTTCCTAGCACTTCATCTTCCTCTGGTGAAAGCTCTGATGGCACAAAATCCGAGGACGAAATGGATTTAATGGCGACTGGACGGCCAAAAGATGTTCCCCGTCATTCCCTCGACCTAGGTTTAATTAGGGCAAGACGGCAGAAATTGACTGCCAATAATAGGGCCGAAATTCCGGCCCTAATCCCAGACCCTGTGGACTTTCGATTGCAAGCTGGGCTTCATCCCCTACGTCACGCCCCTGGGATGATCGTGGTCCATTTTGATTCAGTGAGGGCTGGGCTTAGATTTCCGTTACATCCCTTTTTTATTTCATTTTTTAATTTTTATGAAATTGTAAAAAGCTGAGGTGAGAATCACTAACATCAAACTCCAGGCCATTTTGATCCCTTTAACAATGCGTAATTACAGGGTCAAACTCTATTAGCTGAAATAATGGCTCCCTCCAAACTGCTAATATGTTCCTCATTCGGTTGTCCAGAACGATTCCCATGTTAACCGCTGAGGTGAGACTATCTGAGTGTCAAACTCCAAGCCGTTGGCTGAGAATGACTTTCCTTCCATGTTGTTAACCCGTTCCTCATTCGGTCATCCGGAATGACCGTGTTAACAATGGGCTGAGATTTTCTGAGCATCGATTCTTCAAGCCGTTTTGATCCCTTTGTCCGTACATAATTACAGGGTCAAATTTGGCTAAGTTGACGACTCAGCTCCCTCCAAACTGTTAACCCGTTCCTCATTCGGTCATCCGGAATGATTTTGCGTGTTAAAAAGCTGAGGTGAGAATCACTGACATCAAACTCTAGGCCATTTGATCCCTCTATGTGATGATTTTACTGTTGAATAAATTAAATTTGGGGAAGTTACGTGAGTAGTAAACCCCTGCAAATTTTGGAGATTAATAAAGATAAAATGAACCTTTTAATGTAAGGGCATCACGGGAGAAATCCGGGGTGTCGGTGTCCTCCATGACCTTGACTGTGGAGAGTGATTAGGGCTGCTATTACTTGTGTACTCATAAAGAGTTGTTATGTCGGTGTCCACGACCTTGACTGTGGAAAATTATTATGTTGGTGTCCATGACCTTGACTGTGGAGAGTGTTAAAATTCGGGCAAAAGACCCTATTATTAAGTAGTAGGAGTAACCTAGTCACTTATATAGGGTAATCCCTTTTTGGTGGAGTAGGGGGACGTTGACGTCCGAACTACTTGGACTTCTTACTACCCGTAGGGCTTGGAATCCCTTTCATGGGGTGTGCACACTTAAGGTAGATGTTCAGTTTCCTCAGGTTAGAAGTGGTACCGACAAAAGTCCCGGGGTGGCCGTACATAACAACGGACCATCGGACTCAATTAAAAATATTGAGCACCGCCCTTCGAAATTACTTAGGGACCTTAGTATAAAGAGTTGGAGAAAATATTTTAATACTTTACTCGTAAGAGTTGTTAAAGTACTTATTTGGAGAAATACTATTTGGTTGAATATAATGAAATTTAAAGTTATTTTGAAGACTAATTATTTAAGGAAATGATATTTTCACTCTACTATGTGAATTACTTCTTGTTCATAAATGTATTTTGAGAAATGATGTATTTATCTCCTATTTTGAGAAATGAGGTATTTATAGTGTTTGAATTATTATTTTAATTAAAAATGTGATTTCGAATTATACAAGTTTATTTTGAGTTATAATTGTTATTTGAGTAATAAAATTATTTATGGATTCCCGAAGTACGAATACTTTTGGATTTGATTTGGATCGATTATGTTGAATATTGTTCACAAGTAGTTATAAGTATTTTAAGATGAATATTGGTGATTGATTTATACTTTGGAATAATTGTGAGAATATCTGGTGGTTTATGTACATTGGTATTTTGGAATTTTATGGGTTGGGATAAGTACTTATATTTGAAATATTAATATTTTACATATGAATTGTTTTATGAGAATATTTTGTATATATTGATTTACTTATGATTTATATAAAATGTTTTGAAAAAGGTTTCCTCCAAGATATTTTACAAAAATGTATCAAACGTGATTATTGTACGGGGTTGGGTGGGATTTACTAGCATTTACGGCTAATTTTGTTTTTGTGTTTTTCCTTCTATACTTGATTTTGTACAGGTGGTGGTTTGATCCCGTTGAAATTGAATTCGAGAAAGCTTCCGCTAGAAAACATAATTAGTAAATCATTGTATATTTTAATTTCAAAAACTCTAGTTAATTAATATTATTTTAAGTTAAATTATTTGAGAAGTGGTTAGCCTGTGCACTCGGTTAGGTTGGAACCGAGTGTGGCGGTAACGCCCCTATTTTCCTTTGTTTTTCCGCTGCAAGATTCTGATAATTTTAAATAAAGTTATGTATTTCTTACCAACAAGTTATCATTTAAATTATTATTTTGGGTGAGAAATTTGGGGGTGTTACACCACCTGCCAGCTATTTATAGGAGGATTTGTTGTGTGTTAAATGAGGTGTTAATGGACCTGAACGTTGGACATCAATGACCAGTCCGTTGGGCATTGAATCGTCCATAAACTGTCCATTTAACGCAACATTAAAAGAGAAGAACGTTGGACATTTATTGCTGTAACGGAACAGAAGACCTTCTGGTGCGAACAGAAAACTTCCACCAGAACACCTCGAGGTGTTTTGGTCTGAAGCCACCAGAAGACCCCAAGGCCTTCTGTCCGGAAGCTAACACAAACCCTCAGGTCTTCTGATCCAACAGAAACCCTCTTAGGTTCTCTGCTGTCCAACAGAAACCCTCTTAGGTTCTCTGGTCCGGAAGGCAACAGAAAGCGGAGCAGTTCTGGAAAAAATGAAACGTTACGGGAAGAACAAAAAATTAGACCGAATCTTTGAATGATAGATTTTTCGGACGGCATTCGTGTCCGCAGGTCGCCCACGCACACGAGTCGCGATTTTCCTTCTCCGTTTTGGGATTTGATTGGCACCCCCTGCGCGTAAGAGAGAAACTTTACTTTTAGGAATCTTAACTCCTTAAAAGAGGCTTCCCTTTATAAGGGGGTGAAAATCCCCTGAGTTTTCCGGTGTGGGATAAAACACACTAGAAACCCACCATTTTCCCAGATTTGTCATTTCAACGAGTGAACTTCGAGAATCAATTTATCATTCACCCGTTATCCGTTTTGAGCGTACCATATATCGAATTGTAGCCCTTAACAAGGACAATCCGAAACCACTTTGACCCGACCCAAATCGGTAGTGGACCCCACTCAAATAATTGCGTCAAAATGACCATTTAATGTAATTTTAACACATTTTTCCAACAATATATACAGTTATAAGTAAATTTACAATAAAATATATAAAACATATAGGTATTTTTTTGGAAGTACACGTGTCCTGGGACTCGTGAGATCTTATCCGCCAGTGATCATGGAATTCATTCAAGAATCCCCTCAAGAGATTGTTTAAAAAGCATAGTCCTAGTTGAACAAGTCATTTAAGCTATGGAATTGGTTAAAAATGACGCATGATATATAATTTATTACACATTAATTGTTTTTTAAAAATTACATTTGGATAGAGAGATGTATCGAAACTTTCACTTTCACTCGTAATGTCTCCATTACATTTAAGCTTTACTAATCCACCGACACATTTTTCTACCTAAGCCTTTACTCTTTCATTCACTATTTTATCCCAAGATTTAAAAATAGACTTTTACAACGCTGCTGGGGGAGAGGGGATGGTGTCTCAGTCAAAGGAGACGAAGGATGGAAATGCAAGCCAAGAGAAATCGTGGCCGAAGAAGGAGGCGCTGGGATGGATGGAGTGGCTGAGGGGGTGGCTGTACCTGGCATATGAGATGCTGTTCCAGAGGATTGCCGCCAGCCACTTGGAGAACCCCATGCCTCTCCCTCCCATCAACGACCTTACGTGCATCGTCACTGGCTGTACCAGCGGCATCGGCCGAGAAACTGCTAGGTCACCAAGTTCAACTCTTCTTCTTTTCATTTTGGCATCAATTCCATCTATTCAACAATTGGTCTGTCACTGTATGTTGTTACACTATTCAATGAAGTTAGGGTATTTTTTAATGAGAGTGCTGCCAAAAGTAATGATAAACTTGCAATGGTTCTGCACTTCTGCCCATCACCCACCTCCACACACCCACCCAGTCCCACCTCCTCACTCACTGCTTACAAAGCATTCCCGTAGGATATATCAAAGGATGTTAATGTGTATGAGAATGTTCTAATAAATGTCAAAGAGATAGTTCAACACAGGAAGGTAACTAAGTAAGGTTTAAAAATTCATTGATATATCTGCCAACAAAAGTATGGTTAAATTTGGAGTCTTTCCACCATAGGCTGTACCTTAGAGTTCAAGTGAATCTGAATGACTACTTTTGCCTAAACTTATAAGTTAAAGAGTTGCAATAGATTGGATTTCATTTTATGAATACGTAGTAGTGTAGTACTACGTACTATCTATAATTTATGGAATATGTGGGTTCAGAACTGGCGTTTGAGACTGGCGTTTATTAGAAGTTAGTAGGGAAGGCAACAGGGCAGGGTATACCATTACCCGTACCCGCCCCGTTAGTTAATTTATTTTCCCCGAAACTGCCCCATTACCCGTTACCCAGTCAAAGCGGTTTTCCCCATTTTGACCAGTTCGGTTCAGTGTGGCTATCCACCGGGTCGGGTTAAATTGCCATCCCTAGAAGTTTGGACATACTAACTCTGCCTTCACCTTGGATATGTTTGTTTCATTCTTTATATGTTAGCAATGGTACTATGGTATAGTAGGAAGGCTCTATATTCTAAAGTAGTAAACCTTCATAGAAGATATTGTGATATTTCAACATACATAGTAAGAGAAGAATTACTCATATAGACAGTGTAATAACTTTTGGGGGTGTTTATGTTCCTACCTTTTGCTATCCAGAAATGGAATTAAATGAAAAAAGTGATCGTAGACAGGATATGCTAACTCTGCCTTCACCTAGAATATTTTACATGTCGATAATGAAACTGGGGTAGTAGATTAGAGTACCTTACTATGTACTACATACATAGTAAGACAAGCACTAGGATAGATGTGGTATTAACTTTAGGGTGTGTTTGTTTCACGCCTTTTGGAATCTGGAAACGGAATTAGAGTGAAAATTATTTTCCTTATCATTATTGACTTTTCTTCCATTTTCGTCTTTAAGAAACGAGAAATCGTTCCATTTCGCAAATTACTACTTTTATAATACAGAGTTGTTCTGATTCCAAGGTACTGCGGTACTGCCAAACACATTCATATTTTGACTTAAAACCATTCCAATACTCCAATACTAATTCATATCCTCTAACCAACACCGCCTTAAAAGTTAAAACTATGCATTTGGTCTTCTTATTTTGACCCCACAAATATTATTTTTACTCATCTCTTGCTGTAAGAGCAAAGGAAAGACAAACTTGTGGCCTTGTGCCTGTTTATGGCTAAATCATTTACTCCCTTTGTCCCAAAACTGTCCAACAACTTGACCAGCATGGTGATTAAGAAAGTGGAAACTATGTGTTTGAAATTTGTGTACATGAGAGAGAAGTAACATGAACTACATATTGCTTTGTTTAAAAGGAAATGAAGGTTAATTCTGGGATGGATAAAAAAGTGTGTGGATAATTTAGGGACAGAGGGAGTTATGAATTTATGATTTATTCATACTTGCGAGGTATTCATATGGGTAGAATTATGTTACAAGTTTTTCTTCATTGAACAGACAATTGGCAGAATCAGGGGCTCATGTTGTAATGGCAGTCAGAAATACAAATGCTGCAAATGAATTGATAAAGAAGTGGCAAGGAGATTGGGCTGGGAAGGGCCTTCCCCTTAATATCGAGGTAGCTTTGTAATATCAATTTGAGATAAGTACTCAAGTAGGTTTCTGGTCATTTAGTTACACACAATGCTCTGTCAAATCCTACAAATGTGTTGTAACTTTAAAATATTATTTAAATGGATATGTTGAGGGGAGGGATACTAACTTCCTTGAATGCATTATTCCATAGGTCATGGAACTTGATCTACTTTCCTTGGATTCTGTTGTGAGGTTTGCTGATTCATGGAATGCTCGTGGAGGACCGTTACACATTCTCATTAACAATGCAGGGATATTTTCTATTGGAGGTCAGTATTCTTCAATGCCAAACATTCAATTAAATGAAACTGCAAAATATGCACTTGCACAAGCACATCAAGGACTACTGTAGAAATCAACATTGTTTTTTTTTACTTCTGTTGTCATATTTAATGTTTTATCCTTTCTTTTACCTTGTTTTTGTTCTCTTCTACTTTTAATCGTTTCTGTAGAACTGTATTTGAGGTGCCTATGATTCTCAGCATCTGTCATTTTTCTGAGCAATTTCACTGCCATTGAGGCATCAAACCCCGCATCTTTCTTTTTGATAGATTTGTAGTAAAAGCTTGACACACATATCTCTATCTATCATTCTATCTTGGCCAAGTAGTAAGCTAGTTGGTTATGTTACTATTTCTATTAGAACCACAGAAGTTTTCCAAGGATGGGTATGAGGAACACATGCAGGTGAACCATCTTGCTCCAGCATTGCTTTCCATATTGCTCATACCATCCCTAATCAGAGGTTCTGCAAGCAGAATCGTCAATGTGAACTCCATTGTAAGTTATAGGAAGATGTGTGCCAATTTGTAAATGTGTTCAATTACTCATGGATGGATGGCTATTTTTATAACAGTACTTTTATGTTCCTTTGACACTGTATTTTTAAATTCTTGTGGGTGTAAAAGAAATTTACTGTATCAAATGAAGATTGCTGCACAACCAAGTTCTTCTGTGGACTAACAGTATACATGAGTGGCAGTTGGGTGTTCACATCGAGATATTCAAGGATGATATGTTGTCTCATCTAAATACCTAGACCAGATGGACCTTTGCCCTTGTAACCCTTACATGATTGTCTTATTACTTGGAAAGACTGAAATTGTTAACTTGAAAGTAGGGCTGGGACTTTGGAACCAAGAACCGGAGAACCGAACAGGACCAAACTGTTATGACCCGGTTCGGTTCCAACATTTATTAGTTACTCGTTAATGGTTCGGTTCCTATTTCTTATTAACGGTTTGGTTCTCGGTTCCTGAAAAAAAATGTACCTGGAACCGCTAAGGAACCGTTATATATAATAATTAAAATTTATATAGTTCTTATTAGTATATACTACCTCCATACCCTTAATTTTGGGACAAAGGGGAGTGGTGTAGTTTTTAAGAAAAGTAGAGTTATGTGATGGATTGATAAAGTGGGAATAAAGTATGTGATGGATAATGAATTAAAACCACACAAATATTACCAAATATGGTATGAGACAAATTTAGTGGGATGGACAGAAAAGGAAAAATGGGACAATTATAGTGGGACGGAGTGAGTATATTTTAATGTGTATTTACTTATTTATTTTTATATTACACTGACTATTTCAGTTTAGTTATTTAAGTATTTAACATTATTATCTATTTTAACGGGTTCCTCTAAGGCTCTTAGGCCTCTTGAGACCCTTTGAGATGAATGAACTTTTTTGCTGGCTAATTACATTGCTGATTCAAGATCATAATTATTGATTGTAGTTAAATGATGGTAAACATATTTGTATTTCTTGTAATTTGAAATGTTGAATGTTTTTTTAGCACAAATTTAACGGTGATTTGTAAGTTTTTTTTTTTAAACTAAGAACCTGTTAAGTGACAAGAACTGAACCATTAAGAATGGTTCGGTTCCATATCGGTTCTATAAAAAAATTATAAGAACCGAACCGGTCCCAGGCCTACTTGAAAGTCTTTAGTTTCATAGTGATGCAAAATGTGATCAAAATTTGAAGGTCTTTATCTCCTATTCTCATGCCTACTTTTTGCTTTCCTACCATTGTTAACCTTTAAGCTGATCAAATCCAAATGAACCTTTTTTATTTAATTCAGATGCACTATGTCGGATTTGTTGATACAGAAGATATGAATGTTGTGTCTGGTAAGAGAAAGTACACCAGTTTAATCGGATACTCGGGCAGTAAACTTGCACAGGCACGAGCTTCGAAATCTGACTCTTACTTTTCACTTTTTTTTCCTCTTGCTTATGTCTTCACTGTCAATATGTGGAATATAGCTGAAGATCTAAAAAAAGTGATGTTTAGATTTACTGGTATGACAAAAGGAGAGGTAGTACGAGCTATCATCTGTTTTTTTTCTAGAAATGTATCGAGTTGGTTTAGATCTCATGAAAGCTTTAATAAGTAATCTGTTTGCACACACTTCTCAAGTTATTATAAGTATTATACAAGCATCTATAAATTGTTTTGTTCTATATTACTATAATAGTAGACCTGTCTACCCATACCGAAAAATGCTCTCTGCAACTGCACACTGATAAGATTTTGGCTCTATCATGTTTTTAACCCTTATGAGCATTGTCTTTTCCCATTACTGATGCTACCATAGGAATCTAGATTGTAAGCATGGCTACATGCACAAACTCGTCATAAACCCTGATTCAAGCATTCCAGGTTGTGCTTGCAAGCTTCAAAATCTTATGGTTGTTTCTGGCATTGAAATTGCAGATCATGTTTAGTAGCATACTTCACAAGAGGCTGCCAACTGAAGCTGGCATAAACATTATATGCGTCTCTCCTGGGATTGTTCAAACCAATGTTGTAAGCTCCTAAGAGACCTTTTCTTTTGGATTACTCCTGACTTCTGCTATTTTACATCTGTATATCAATTGGAAGTAAAAGGTGTTCCTTTGGATAAACCTTTTCCTATGCTAGATCAAATATCTAACTGCTTGGTTTTTGTACTTCCTTTGTGCATACTTAGTCTGAAGACTTCATTATTACTATTTTTCATAACACTTGGATGCTATCATGGTAAATTGGCAGTTGCAAATTGCAAGATTTTGTATCCTTGCACAGTAGTTGGCTTTCCTCATTGAACAATTTGCTTTTGATAATGGTGATAGATTGTAATTTGAAAAAAGTTTCAAAAGCAGAAGGAGGTCTAGTTAGGTTTACATCCCGAGTGACTCAAAGGTCTCAGTACTTGCCAAGTTACTTGTTTTTTTTAATCAGACTGAGCAGGTATACAACTGTGTTTTTCTGAATACCGAGTACTAACTGGTTAAATAACATAGCAATGAAGAGTTGTGTTCTTCGTTTTCTCCCTTTCCCGGCAGGCGGGCAACCATGTCCAAAATCATACCGCGCCACCATCCCGGTACTCAAATGACTTACCAGCTACAAATCCGTCATCATCAGAGCCACCACACGCTGAGCACCAACCTCACACACTAGTGCATAGGTCTGATTGTAGTTTCAATTTTGTGCAAAAGTTTTCAACCTGCTTCATTGGACTTTGTTGACCCTTTAGCGTGAATTTCAAAATTTTCTGAAAACCCTTGGCAGTGATGAAGTTGTTAATAGTGTAGTGTTCAAGTCTTCATGTTGAACTTCAAGTTTAGGTGTCAAGTTTTAGATATTCATACTCTAGGGTTCATGTGTCCATTTCAAAATGTTCATTTCTCCAAGCCTTAAAGTGCATTTTCATGTGTATTAGTGTGGTCAAAGAATGATCACCATGTGTGTCTTTGTGTGTTGTTAGCTTGTAATGCATGAAGTTGCTCTCGCTCAAGGGGGGTGGCGGTAGTAATATATACCATTATTGTCATTATTAGTTTCCTTTATAAGTATTAGTATTAGTTTCCTGTGTTATTAGTAATAGTAGTCCTGTTAGGATTAATATATTGTGTCCAATCATATTATGTATCTTTGTATCTGTGTTAGTTATTTTATATGGACCAATCTTGTATCTCAGCCCATTTAGTATTTAGTTATACGTAGGTTAGCCCCCTTACGTATATTAGGAGTGCTAACATACCTACATACGTAAACCCTACGGATAATAGACTGGGCAGATAGCCAGATAGGCATTCATTACATTCCGTACAAGAACTGAGAGTCTCAGCTGTATCATTCATACCCTGTTCATTATCAACATTAAATCATTCTCTGGTATTGAATATTCAGGTAATCTCTTCTCTACTCGATGATTATATCTGTGATTGTTGGATTGCTGGATCTGACAAATCCGTTATCAGTTAGCAAGTCTATTTTAGTTAATATTCCTAATACCAACATTATAATAGGTTAGGGTCGCTCTAATACTAGTCTGTCAACACTCTTCGAACTAGCTCTATTCATATGATCATTTTTTTGGAGTTAATCCCTGAAGTCTTCACAAGGGTGGACACCACATTTTCTTTTCTAGGGTGAAGAAGTTATTCATTTTTATTGATTTAATTGTTCTTCTATTCACCTCCCTACATAGGTTTAACTGTTTAACAATTTGGTACCAGAGCCATTTCATTCCTGCACAGTTTTTGTTAAACCTACCCCTTTCGTTTGTTTTCTCTGCTCCAGAGATCTAAAAAAAATGAAAATAAAAGTGTACGCTGTTCAGCATCTTCGCTGCTCTGCTTCCCAACTAATCTGCAACAGGCCACCATAGAAAAGACAGTCGCCAGGCCATCATCATTTGACAAAGCCCTAATTTCGTGGAGTCATGGGGTCAGTTGCCCTAGCCTTAATAATAATTTCCAGTAGCAGATCAAACCAAAAAATACTGTGCATTTTTCTTGTTATGGAAATCCGTAGTTCGCCGCCGCCAGTAGTCTCCAAGATGTTATTCAAACCAATAATCAATAATTTCAACTCTTAGGGTATTCTGATTCTTCTTTAAACGTACCGTTTGTCATCGAAGAATAATTATACGCCTTAGTTCTTCTTTGTTATTAATTATTATTAGCATATTCTCACCATATATAATCCCAAAAGAAAAGAGAAGAAAAAAGGGTCTGAAAAAAGGGAGTGTCGAGCTCTGCATGTCATCTTCTCTCAATTATTATGTTTGGTTGATGAGTATGATTTCATATTATTATGAAGCCCAATAAAATAAGCCGCGTGGCTTGGTAACCTGTTGGATGAAATTATGCAAGTCACCGATTTGTTATGAGGAGATGCACGTTATAATTTAAATTATATTGGAATTACCAATTGTTGGGATTAATATAAGAAGACCCCCAATAGTTGGGATTAATAGTGTTAATTTCCCCCCTTATATTTATTAATATACTATTATTATTATTACTAGTGTCCTTTAGAAGTGTTAGTATTAGTTTCCTACTATTATTAGTAAATAGTAGTCCCCTATTAGTATAGGAAGTTTATTTTAGTTAATCTTCCTAGTAGCAGTATTGTAATAGGCTAGGGTTATCTTAATGCTAGACTATCAAGACTCTTGAAACTAGTATGAATAGAGGTGCTCTACTCATTAATAATATGATCAATGTTTTTAGAAATAATCCTTGAAGTCTTGACAAGGTCAGGCTCCACCTTCTCTTGCCTAGTACGGACAAGTTATTCATTTTTATAGATTTAATTGTTCATTTCATCTTCCGCCCATGCCTGTAACATGACAAAGCATTCATTTTTTTAACTAATAATGCAGGCAAGGGATCTGCCTAAGATCATTCAATCAGCATATCGTCTGGTACCTTATTTTATATTCAATGCTGAGGAAGGTAATATCTCACACCTGCCCTATTCCATTTCTTGTTAGTACATGTCACAATATACTTTTGCGATTTGTGATCGTGTCTGCTGTTTATCCCACATCCTCTAAAAATTTGGAAACCGCTAGAAGACTGTCCTTAAAATTTGTGAAGGGCTAACTTTTAAACCAAAGAACACATATGCCTTGTTTGGTAATTGATCAATCGTTGATAGCAATAGCTGGCTGTCTTTGATGTTATTGACATGCTGATGGTCTTAGCTGTTTTGACCTGCGAGTAGTTTCAACTGTTTTAGAAAAGGATTTTTGCGGTGAAGTTAACTAGCTTGCTATTTGGTTATAATGCACAAAGTGACTTTAAAGGTCATATGAATAAATTCTAAAAGAAATTATAAATAATACTTCCTCCGTCCCCCTATAATTGTCCCATTTTTTTCATTTTTGGATGTCCCCCTATTATTGTCCCATACCATATTTCGTAAAATTTGTGTGGCTCTAATTCATTCTTACTTTATTTCCACTTTATCAACCACATAATTCTACTTTTCTTAAAAATCACACCACTCTCTTCCGTCCCAATATTAGGGGGACGTGGGAGTATAAAATAGAGTATAGTGTTATAGTATTTTGACTACAAGATGCCGCTTCCAAGACTTGAACATGTAACCTCTCCATCGTACAGCAACACCGCAACCGGTGTGCCAAGACTCCCCTTCTTAACATTTATTTAACACAATATAAATTTTAAAAAGAAAGTAAAACATAAAAAGAAAATAAAGTTACTTCTACAGTGACAACTGAGGTTTCTATTCAAAATTGACGCATTGTTACAAAAAGACTCCCCTTCTTAACATTTATTTAACAAAATATAAATTTTAAAAAGAAAGTAAAACATAAAAAGAAAATAAAGTTACTTCTACAGTGACAACTGAGGTTTCTATTCAAAATTGACGCATTGTTACAAAAAGCCATACAAAAGTGCTTCTAACACAGGCATTTGCAAGTTAGATGGTCGTGTATCTTGAAATTTTAGTATTTGATATAAAACACAAAAAACCACAACTACCCTGACATTTCCAAGTGTATACTTGGAAAGTCTAAACAAAACTCTATCTTACATAAATATGTAAGACGATCCGGGAACTTCATTTTGGGACGGAGGGAGTATTAGTTTTATGTCCGGTCGTAGCAACTGGGTTTTGATCATACCATTAGAATCTCAGGTTGTTTATCCTGATCATTATTATGGCTTCTGCAGGTTCTAGAAGTTCACTTTTTGCAGCCACTGATCCTCAAGTCCCTGAGTACTGTGAGATGTTGAAAGCAGACGAGTGGCCAGTGTGTGCATTCCTGTCTCAAGATTGTCGCCCAACCAATCCCTCTGAAGAATCATACAACATTGAAACTTGTTACAAGGTTTGGGAGAAGACCTTGGAAATGATTGGCCTTCCTTCAGATGCTGTCGAGAGGCTTATCGAGGGGGATGTAGTTGAGTGCAGATATGGAAAACCAAAGGATTAGTTTTCTAATTTAATACACGGCCAGTTCAGTTCAGCTTCCTACACAAGCTATATCTCAAACACAGATTCCGTCTTTGCTGTTTGGCGTTCCTATCTTAGGTTTCTTTTTGGAGTGGTAGGGAAAAGGGGAGAGAGCATGGCTTTTCTGCACATGGATGAAACTGACCTGATGATACAGCCTCGAATCTGTCTCCTTTTCTAGCTTTGGGCTCTAGTAAGTCCGACTGTCCGAGTCCTATACATGTTGGGTGAGCACTGAACTGCTAAAGGTGTCACTCTTTTGTGTGGCGGCACACAATGTGCAAGGAAAATAATTCTTGTTCTTTGTGCACCAAGTATTCTTGGTCTATACACTTAACATCCTTGCACCTACGAATCTACGATTGATTGATATTCAAGTGTATTGTAACTTCAACATTTAAACCCAACACAGGTAATAAATGCTATTCTTCTTTACATCGTTATACGCAACAGCGACTTTGACACCATCTATAATTCTATATAGTATATACCTAGACTTGGCCATTATTGATCATTACAAAAGCAATCTACTCCGTATTATACACAATGTTGTCAGGTTTGTTGCGCTATATTTTTAAAACATTAATTTTAGGGAAAAATAATAAAAATAATCCAAACTTTGAAGGGGTATGAGTAGGAGTGGACTCGGGCCGGTTCGGGCCCGGCCGGGCCTCGGTTCAAGAAGGGGAGGCCCGGAACCGGCCCGGGTAAATCCCGGGTCCGGGCCGGGCCGGGCCTCGGGTATTTTTTTTTTGGGGGGCTTTTCCTAGTTAACCCCCACCCCTCCCCCTCACCCCCAAACCAACCCTAACCACCTCAAATGGCCCAAAATAACCAGCCCAACCCAAAAACTCAAAAAAAATTCAAAAAAAAAATTAAAATTGGCCCGGCCCGGGCCCGAACCGGCCGGGCCGATTCACCTTTTGAAGGGACCGAGCCCGAACCGAGAATCCACCGGGCCGGGTGGCCCGAACCGCCCAACGAACCGTTTCCCGGGCCGGTCCGGGCCCGCACAGTGGCGGGCCGGTCCGGTTCCGGGCCGGTTGGCCCGGCCCGAGTCCACCCCTAGGTATGAGGTAAACACCCTAAAGTTGTATATGTAATTTAAATATCCCAAATTATATATAAGAATTTATTTTCGCACCGTTGTAATGCATGATTTCTTTCAAAAATGTAAATTTAAGGGGTTAATTGCATAATTTAAAATAGCAAATTAAAAGTGTTGCAATTATATAGATTGCGGGTAACATTATTTATTTTGCAATGGAAGTTTGGAATGTTAATTGTGTCTTCATGAATTCTAAAATATATTGAATTATGAAATAAAAACCATAATTTTACATTTTTTAATGAAATAATACTTGCCCATGGTGCTAAAATATCTTTTTATATCAAGTTTGAGGTATTTAAATTACGGGAAAAGGGTCAGATAGGACTTCAAACTTACAAAAAATTGTCAAATAAGGTCTTATATAGTAGGTTCTGTCCGGCCGACGCCATTTGGGGCAGTTCCCGGTGGAAATTTTCAATGAAACTTTTTAAACATCTTATTCATTAAGTCTAGTTGACTCATACCAATTTTCAGTTAAAACTTCAATCGGGAAGGCATTCAAAAAAATTTTTGAAGATAAGTGCGCAGTTAAAAGCGCAGTTATCTTCAAGAATTTATTTGAATGCGTTTCTGATTGAATTTTTAGCTGAAATTTTGTATGAGTAAACTAGACTTAATGAATCAGATTCTCACAAAATTTCATCAAAAAATTCCACCGGGAACTGTCCCAAATGGCGTCGGCCGGACAGAACCTCCTATATAAGGCCTTATTTGACATTTTTTTGTAAGTTCGAAGCCCTATCTGACCCTTTTCTCTTTAAATTACATATGAAAGTTTGGGGTGTTCATTTCACACCCTTCAAAATTTGGGGTATTTTAATTATTTTTCCCTTAATTTTAAAACATTTCTATAAACAGTAAAACATAATGTTTTTTCTGTAAATGGAATTAGTATGATTTGATATGAGTAAAAATTGAAAGGATAAGAGTGTGTTTACACCTAAAATAGAACATATGAAGATTATGAACTAGTTAGTGTTAATTGGCATGGACCTGGCCCGGAATTGGGTTTGATACTGTTTGGTTCTGGACCGGGTCCGTTTTTTCAGTTTGGGACCTCAGACTGGTCCCTTTTTGCGGTGTATGGATTCGGGGACTGAACCGGGTGGTCTCGATCTTATAGGGTGTTTTTTGTTTGTTTCAGGCTTGGAACCGCGCAAAAAAAATAACGGAACCGAGACCAGACCGATCGGGGACCCGAAACTAGAAATAACCGTGTTGGGTCGGGTTTCAACCAAAATTGGCAAGGACCGAGCAGCCTCTGCTTGGAAACCGGATCAGAGAGACGTGGGTCCATGCCTAGTTGTACCTAATGAACCTTGTTTGGAAAATTATCGTAGTAGAGTTTTATAATGATGTGACAATTGCAAAGATGATTTTAGCTCCCCCAAATCTTTTTATTTTTATTTTCATGAAGCTGATGATTAACAAATACCAATCCACGAATGAGGATTAGCAAAACAAAACTAGATTGGTTGACAACAAAAGCAATCTAAACGTGAACCAGCTAACCAAGAAAGGTGGATAAAAATAGTTTTCATTTGACAATAGCATGGGTCTTCAATCATTAATTAGTGAATTTGGATCCTCTCCAGTGACCGGAGAGTTCCGGTGGGAGAGATAGAGAAGAGAGGATTTTAGGTGGGGTATATAGATAGTAAGATAGAGAAAAAGGTAGAGAGAGACTGGAAGAAAAAATGGAGAAGAAAACATCAAGAGGAGCTGCACCCTCAATTAGTATGCCATATTTCAGAGATAGCTTGTTCAACATCAGATTCTAAAATAGGAGTATCATGTTTTTTGTTTCTTGAATAGGAGTAAATTTCTGCCAAGATTGACATTACTAGACTTTAAAACATGACATTTTTTTCCAAACTTGACAGATTACTCTTATTCAGGGAATAAAAAACATGATACTCCAATTTTGGAATTTCAAAACGTTTTTGCTTCTATTTAGAACAATTAAGACTTCACTTCAAAATCTTTAAGCCACACTTTTTATTAGTCGGAGGTGGCTCTAAAGAATGTTAACCCCCGAAAAGAATGTTACTGATTAAATTGTATGTAAGCATATTCTAAGGAATGTACCATACTAAGGGACTGTTTACTTGCGACTTAATGGACTTAATGGAAATCATGACTTATTCGTTCAGCTATATCGGCGTGTTTACTTGCGACTTAATGAAATAAATGACTTATTCGCTCAGACGTAAAACGTCTTAATGGTTCAGCTAATATTCTACTCTCCTTATCATTCAGACATATCATTTTATATGAAATGTCTATTTTACCCTCTTTTCAAGCCTTGTTACTCCTGCTCAAAAATAATGTTGGAGGTGAGAATCGAACCCAAGTGTTCATGCTAGCCGAGTGAAGAAGAAACCAAAGAGCTACTAAAGCTTGTTGATGGTTTATGACATTGCAAAAATATATAGCGTATATTTCCAGTCTAGGTTAGAGGAGTCGCCGTCTGGTCACCCCATTTGGATGGTTCCCAGTGCTATTTTATAATGAAATTTTATGAGCATGTTACTCATGAAGTTTAGATTATTTGTAAAAAAATTCACTTTAAAATTCAATCATGAATGTAGTAAAATAAAATTCTAAAAAATGCATTTTTTTTTTCAAAAAAATATTTAACTAGCTTCACGATTTAATTTTAAAATAAAGTTTTGTGGAAATAATCTACACTTTATAAAAAATATGATCATTAAATTTCATTAAAATATTCCACCGGAAACCACCCCAAATGGGGGTGACCGGACAAGTCTCTTCTGTAACGGCCGGAGATGAATGACATAATTAAATGAAAATGATATAATTAAATGTACTTCATTACAAAAATGTATGATTATTAAAAATGTATATTTTACCCAATTACAGATTAATTGGGTAATTTTTTTTAGAAAAATGTAAATGACATAATTAAATATATATAATTACAAAAATGTATATTTTACTATATTTGAACACAATTATCAGGTTGGGCGAGTGAACAAATACCCAACGAGCTAATAATGCTTATTGGTATATTTGCTACATTGTAAAAATATATAGTATATTTTTGGTCTGGACGGATTAGAAGAGACTGTCGTTTGTCCATCCCATTTAAGTAGTTCCCGGTGGAAGTTTTTAATGAAATTTTATGAACATGTTCCCCATGAAGTGTAGATTATATTAAAAAAAATCACCTTAAAATTTGATTGTGAAAGTTGTGAAATAAAATTGTGAAACATATTGCGCCAAAATAGATATAAAAACGCAATATTTTTCAAAAACGTATTTAAATAACTTCCCAAATGAATTTCAAAATTTTTTTTGTGGAAATAATCTAAATTTCATGAGAAATATGATCATAAAATTTCATTAAAAATTCCACCGGAAACCACCCGAAATGGGGGCGACCGAATGGTCTCCTCTAGAACGGCCGAAGGTGAATAATTGTTTAATATATATACTATTTTCAATTCAACATGATAAGTAAAAATTATTTATTTATTTCAAAATTAATGCATAATAAATATAATAATTGATATTGTTGCAACTACTAAAATAAAAAATTATGTATACACCATTTCAAATATAAGTTGAAAAGTTTATAACATATTTTTAATTAATAAGTGTACCTATGTTCACTTTTATTTTTAGAAAAATGCGAATGAAATAATTAAATGTACAACATTACAAAATGTATATTTTACCCAAATACCAAGTTAAAAATATATATTTTAAATAAATTACTAATTTATATATACAACATATATTCCAAAAGTGTATATTTTAATTGTACTGTAGACACACAATATATATTCAACACTTTTTTCATATAGAAGGGTAAACTGGTCATTTGATATAATTCAGCATGTTCATTCAGCACACAAAGTAAACAGCTTGTTATATCACTGTGACTTAATCCAGACAGATGTCTTAATTCATACAGACGTCTTAATTCATACAGGACTCAATGAAAAAAAAAGTAAACAGCCTCTAAGTCGTATATGTAGGGTAGCCTCACTTTTTATGGACACCATAACATACACTTTCTTAAGATTACTTTCAACTTTTAACTTAAATGTATTTAAATTTAACAAGGTTACCATCTAAAATACACTAGCTACATTTAACCGTTTTAAATGAAATAGTAGAGCGGGAGCCGACGGCCCTACGAAAAACCTTGGCGGCGTTCTCATCTTCTAGCCTTTTTCTCCAACGAGTAAGAATTTGGACGATAACAAAGTTCTCTGGGTAGTGAGAATCTAAATTTTCCAATGCTTCCACTTTTTTTATTTCTACCTTCAAGGTTATTGGTTTTGGTTTGGCTGCTTCAATGGAGTGTGAGATATGTTTTTTTCCTAGTGATGTTTAGAGCTTGTGTTTTCTCGCCGGTGTAACCGATCGTGTTGTGAATTTTCATTGTTCATAGTTTGCAAAGTTGATTCAACCTTGCTATTCTGAGGCCTTAATTACTCGTCCTCCTTCTGAATCACAGCTACACTCAAGGATAAAGAAAGCACTCAAGTGGATCTTCTTTTCGGTAGCTGGTCAAATCGACGATTTAGACCATTTCTGCTCGGTAGAGGTTCCCTTGTGGTTGTTGGTCAAATCAATTCTCTCTTTTGCAATGACTGGTGAAACTCGATCTTTTTTTTGTAATGTTTTATTCTTCTTTATTTTTTACAAGTGTAGCAAGACTATTAAGCTAGACTGCATTATTGCGAGGTTAGCGATCTCGAGGGATTCACGAGATCTTTTCCATTCTAGATCTCGTCCCATTTTAGCTTTTGGCTACTCATTCACTTATTTGATTTTCACATTACCTAATTTGTGATTAATATTGAAAGGGAAAATGGTGAAATAGGCCCTGGAACTAACTTAAAAAATGGAAATCACCCCTTATATAGGAGGCTCTATCCGGCCTCGCCATTTGGGCGGTTCCCGGTGGAATTTTTTGATGAATTTTTTTGAGCATGTTCTTTATTAAGTCTAGTTTACTCACACCAAATTTCAGCTAAAAATTCAATCGAGAAGGCAGTCAAATGATTATTTGAAGATAACTGCACAATTTTTGTTTATGGAAAATTCTACAGACTAAAGAAGTCAGTTTTTGTTTGTCGATCGAGATTCACAGACAAAAAAAAAAAACTCTCGTAAAGACGAAGGTGTATTCATGTGTATAGGAAAGCGTAGAAAAGGAAATTTTCTTTCTTTATTTATTTACACATGATATGCAGAGCCATATAAGTCAATGCGATGGAATTCATGTTGACCAGCTTTTCCCTGCCGCCTCCCCCTTTCCCTCTCCGCCAGACCTTCAACTAAAAGGTACTGAAATCGGATTCACACCCACGAAGAAGTATATAACCCACACCACCTTTACTTTTTCTCTCATTATCCATTTCACCGGCCTCTCACTACACTGCTGCGCTGCATTATGTAGGTAAACAGCTTTTCACCACTCTTTTCTCTGTGTACAAAAAATTAAAGAAAGAACCATCCCCATTTTCAAGAGGGGCTGGGATTCGAAATTGTTAAACTTATGGCCGGTCTCGAAACAGATTTTTATTCATCTCAATTTGGCTTGTTTCTCCTTAAAAAGGAAAGCAATAATTAAAAGGAGAAGTAAGAAATCCTCTCCTTCTGCAAACACTTTTCCTTACCCGAAATTGCTGAAGGGGCTTCTGAGTTCAATTAAAGTGAATCCATGATCCAAAACTGTGTGTGAATTACTCTTCCGGGTTGAGCTTTTTACTTCATCTTTTTTTTTTTTTGAGGAAATTTAACAGTTTTATTTTAATTTACTTCCAGTGTTGAACACCAAAACAGGTTTTTGACATAAGAACACCGGATTGACGTTCTTGGAGAGATGATTCGTATTTTGTAGCAAGACTTTGTTTTTTTGAAAGTTCAAGACTTTTATTTTATTATCCGGAGTATGTTTTTTTTCATTTTTAACTATTTTATTTACTTTACTTGTGCATATTCATTTTATTAAACTGATAAATTTTATAGGGAGTGTTTTATTTACCAATTACCATCTCCTCTGTACTTTTTCATATTCTTTTCAATTTATGTAAATTATTATTCACTACACCTGTTGCTCTTTCCTTAAATATTATTTCAAGCGCTATTGTAACAAATAATATAACACGGAGGGAGTATGAAACAATAATTCATTACTTTTTAAAATGAAATGGCAATTTTTAATTGTTGTAAATAAGACAAATTGTTAAAGTTTAGTGACAAAAAGTGGAATATAAAAAAGATGTGTGGCTTCTCTTGTACTTCAATGCTTAATTATATCGTTCTGTCGCACTTGACTATCTGCAAAATTTATGTCCCAACACGATATTTAGATATTTATTATGGTTTTTTTAACAAATATTTTTGTTGTTTTTTTTAAAACATATTTATTGTTGATTTATTGTTATTACCACAAATTTTCTTTTAAGAACGCCTGCACATATGAAAAACAATTATAACTGTTTGTAAAGGCAAAATACTATGCAGGCTAATGAGACTTGACAAATGGTACTTATTTTACCCCATATAGTTTTAGAAGAAAAAGAAGAAGAGGTCAAACAAAACGCAATGACTTGAATTAAAACTAATTAAACCATTTAGATATAAGAAGTTCTTTTTTAGTAGTGTCATTTTTAGAAGAGAAAATAAAATGAACTGTTCAGATATATTGTTATTGTTGGCAAATAGTAGTATATTTAATGTATGTTTTTCTGTTGCTTGGGAATTTAATTGGGTAGGTCCTGTTTGGTGTGCTAGAATGGAGAGTAAAATGAAAGGACATGAGGAAGGGTGTAGTAGGGTGGAGGTTTCTTATGATGCTTATTCTTCTTCAAATCTTTCAAGAAGGGGAAGCTTTGGAAAACCTTCTTGGCTTCTTTGCTCTGTTGCAGGTACATATAATGCTCCTCTAGTCCTCTTTTATGTTCTATCAATTAAAACGTTTGAAATAAAAATTATTGAGTTATTTTTTGAAATGAAAATTTATTTAAAATGGTTGACCTTTCACTGCTATTAATAGCAATCAAAGAATTGAGTGTGAGCAGGAAGGTTAATAATTTAGGAAATTCTTTAATCTGTTTTGAATCGCTTGAATTGGAACTTTTAAATAGAAATTCTTATGACATTAATTAATGCATGTCTGGGCTGGCATTTATGTAGGGTATGGGACCATACATTTTGCATCTTTTGATCAAAGGGGTTGTGTAGTACAAAAAATCAAGAACCCAAAAATCTTAATTTGTGGAGCATCAGAAAAATAATTTAACAAGTGATGCGAAATTTTCCACCAACCACTTTTATATGTGAAAAAAGGTGTCCAAAGTAGTACTGTATTTTTCACGTGTAAAATCGTGTCGGGTCGGGGTATGAGGGCTCCTGGGGTGGGAGATTCCACCTTTTGGACCAAAGTATTTTTCATGTGTTTGTATTTGACGTTGGTACCAAAAAGACCGAAGTAGATTGCTAATATTTCATGCGGAATATTTGTCTAAAGTAGTACTGTACTTTTCATGTTTGTCAGTTGGTGGTGCATTTGTGCTATAGCCATGCGGAAATTAGTGTGTACCAAAACAAAAGTATTTATTAACTAAAAGTTAATAACAAAATAATTAGTAACAACGATGAATCAATAATTAGTGTGGTATATTAGTATTTTATAATAATATACAGTACCAAGTATTAGAAAAATGAATCAATATACAAAAAAGTATTCACAACTCTAAATATATAAAAATGAATCAATATGAAATTGTTTGTTTTTCAGCGGCTTGGTATCAACCTGCTACAAAATGTAGCGTTTTCTAGTTTAAAAAAGTCACCAATTTCATGGAAACACCACAAACCAAACGAAGCCATAGTATTTATTCACAAAAAGTTAATACTCTTTCCATTTCATCAGTTTTCTTCTTTCTTTTTGTTTGTCTAAAAGATTTTGTCATTTTTCTTTTAAAGGAGTGAATTTCTGATCCAATTTATTTTTTCCTTGCACAAACCACAATCATACGGTCTTTATTATTCTCTATAGTAGTAGGTCCTATTGTCCTAGTACACTACTTAAGTGTATTATATCTACATTTGTGGTAAATTATCGCCAATAAGAAAATATAACAATCAATTTGAAACAATTGAAATTGAAAAGAAAATCAAGACACTAATTTTGAATTAAAGATTGTATGGATAAAAATCCGAATAATAAGCTTGATAAACAAAGAAAAATAATGTTGGTTGATGAGTGTAGTCCAACGGATGACAATCCACCCCAAGTCTCTCCTTAGTGGGAGTTTTTGAGTTCAATTCCCACCAAAGGAGATAAGGGAGGTCTTGCTCTTAACGATTCTTCTTACCTTCACGAAGTTGTTTAATGACTGAGAAGGGAGAGAGTGATAATGAAGGTAGCAAGTTCGTGTAGTGGGAGGATAAGACTGAAAGATGATGATGAGACTGACTGTGATCAGATCCGGATATAATTATCTAGGGGCTTTGGAAGGCAGTTCATAGACTCCATCATAAGCCCCCACACCTGGATTATAAAAAAATGTTACCAAAATGGAATTGGAAATAAACATTTGTACATTTTGTTACATGCAATAAAATGGTATACGAGTACATTGAATGGGAGATCTTATCGAATCAGAGTGAGACGAAGGGTCGCTTTCTTCCTTACCTTTGTAACATGTATATATATCTATACACAGTAAAGCTATGCTTAGCTAAAAAGTAAAAACACAGTCTTTTTACTCCTGCTAATGTAAAATCTCTTTCTCACATTGCACACTGGCAGCAGTAACTTTATACTTGGGTTTTCAAAATTTGAATCCAAAAAGAAAGAAGAAGAAGAAAACACCAAAAAAGAACGTTGCGTAAATGCAGACTGAAAATGATTCGATCTTCCTTTGAACAGTTCTTATTTTTCTGTCGCGCAGCTGCACCACGTTATTATGCTCATAATCAGGACAACGCACATCACCCCTTGACTTATGGTTTATTTGGAATAATAAGTTTTATGGTTCTTCAAGTTGAATTTAATATAATATAATCCGTACCTTCATCTTGTTTCATGTGTCCTTCGAGTGGAATTTAACTTGCTAAGAAAGATTGAAAACATTTTCCCAAACGCGCATCATTCGCACATTGCAAGGACCTAAAACACAATGTGTCATATTTGGAGGGACTAAAAACGTATTTAAGCCAAGAAGTTATATAAAGAGGCACAGAATTTAAAATTTCACTATATTTTTTATTGTTTATAAATATTTATAGATATGTATATATATCATAATTTTTTTCTTGGGTTTTAGCCGAGGCACCCGCCAGCCCGTATCTCCATCAGTCCATCGTGGGTTTCAGCATTAAATTAAATAATCACAACATATTTTCATTCTTGTTGTATATGCCTTCATTGATAATGAAGGAGTGAATTTACGTGAATAAAAAAGTGTTTGAAAAATAGAAAAAACGCTAAAATGCATGGACATAGAAGGTAATATGCATTATTTGGAAAACCCGTATAGTATGCTCTTATTTTAGAGATAATTTTTTCAAAATATTAAGGGGGTGTTTGGTTCAAGGAATGTCAGATTACCATGAGAATGTCAGATTGCTGGGTATGTTAAATTGATGAGAATGTATTCAATTTATTCCCATTTGTGTTTGGTTAAGATTAAATGAATGTGACATTAATTTATTTGGTTAAAAGATATCTTTTATTGCACATATGATGGATCACTTCAATGCCCTTTAAATATTGAAATATCTTAATAATAAATAAAATCAAATCTAATTGATTTTTGTTAAGAATGTTTAATTGTAAGAGGTTGTAGATCCAATACAGAGATGAAAAAAACTTTATTCAAATAGAATTTTAAATACTTGTATATTTATCATCATTTCAAAAAAATTAAATTTAAAAATGTTCAAGTTATTCATAAAACTTGCTTTCAAATTAAAGAAAAAATGATTAATTTTACCATTAAATTTTGAAATCCACTCATTAAAAACATAAATAATCTATAAATTTTATAGCATAAATAGTGAATACCTTAAAAAATTTAAATGTTACACAATCTTATAACATAAGTCTCACTTGAAAGGTCACACAATCTAGATATTCGACTGACTATAAAATTAAGAAATAATGACAAATATATAACCGAAACCAAGGTAATTTACAAAAATATGACTTAGTGACTATAATAGTAACTTTATTGACCACAATAGTGTTCAATTTTACATCATAATGACTATGCATATTAATCGTAGTAATGTTTTTGTCCATAACTTATATTTTAGTAATATTTAAGGAAAAACCTCTAAAATTAACTGATCTCTGTCAATAATAAGATTATTTTTAGTAAATAAAATTTACATATTTAGAAATTACATTAAAAGTTTTATAAAATTACAAACATTCAAAATTGATAAAAGTTGAATACATAGAGAAATTAAATGAAAAACGATGACTAATTGAGGGTATTTTCGGAACGAAATTAGATCATCCCTGGGAATGTCATCTAACCTAAGGTATGGAAGGGTATAACATTCCCCTCCATATTACATTCCTGGAAATGTAACTTTCCCGATTTTTTGTCAAAACCGTGAACTAAATATGAGTATCTGTCAAAAATATGAACACAATTTCGATATATTTGGTTACTCAACTTTGGTGGGTCACGTCCCACAGATTATAAGTTTAGATGCCCACAAGAATCCAAACATGAACACTCAATTATTGTATACTTTTATATGCTCTATCCATAGATGTCTAGTAATAAAAAGCCAAAAAGGTTTGAATAATTTTGCAAGATGGCCGACCATGTTTGGTCCTATGAATGGTGTGTGCCTCGTTTTGGAGCAACTTTTGAATCGGCCAATCATTTGCCCAATATATGCTCTGTCTATGGTATCGTTTAGTGTCCAGAGGGTCTTCTAAGACCATTTGGAGCGGCGGGAGAATCTAAATGTCAAAAATGGACCTCGTTCATATGAAAACAGTGTTTTGACTCCCATTTCTCTGCATTCCAGCACCGTCAATAAAATGCACCCTTCACATTTTTTACATATCAATTTAATAAAACATTAATTAAATTATTATAAGTAATGTTTTTCTTTTACTTTTTTCTCTGATTAATTATAAAATAAAAAAGACAGATTTCGATGTAAAAAAAATCATTAATAATTTTTTTTTACGTTTTTCGATGAAGTAAGTTCAAACACATTGGAGCATTGGATTCTCTTCTCAACTTGTGTGTCTATCCACAGCACATTGGATTCCTTTTTCAACTTTTGTGTGTATTCATATCACCTTGGATTCTCTTTTCCATTATGTGTGTCATTGAGATCACATTATATGACATTGGATTCTCTTTTCCACTATGTGTGTCCTTTCATAGCACATTGGATGCTATTCTCCACTTGGTGTATCCAAACATAATAAATTGGATGTATCCTCCACTTGGTGTGAGCATCAAAGAACTATATTACTATAAATACATGGTCTCACTTGACATTGGAGTCACACCTCATCTTTACTTCTCCTTCAAGTATTCTACTATAAGGCCAAATAAAATCATGAGTTCTTTTCCCGCATTTTACAAATCCATCAATGAAGATGAAGAAGCCTATTCCGACCGCATGCGCATGGCTTTGATGGTTTCTTTGGTTGCAACAAGCTCCAATAGCCATGAGTACATAGACCGTGGTCGAGAAGTTGGACATCGTTTGTTGATGGATGATTAGTGGAATCCAAATCCCACATACAACGCACGTATCTTCTGACGCCGTTATCGCATGCAACCAACTTTGTTCGATCGAATCATGAAAGATGTCATGGCTTTCGATCCGTATTTTCTGAGTACAGTAGATGCAGCAAACAAGGTATCTCTTTTCCATCAACAAAAACTCACTAGTGCGATATTTATGCTCGCCAATGGTTGCTCGGCTGATTCATTAGATCAGTTATGTCGTTTGAGTGAGACGACCACACTATTGTGCATGAAGAAATTTTTTAGGACAATCATTAGTGTGTATGGTTCTTGATACCTACGAACCCCTAATCCCGGGGATCTGCACCGTCTTCTTGAAAAGGCCTCAAAGAGAGGCTTTCTTGGGATGATTGGGTCAATTGATTGCATGCACTGGGAGTGAAAAAACTATCCTACATCTTGGGCCGGTCAGTACACCGGGTACAAAAGAAAACCAACAATTGTGCTTGAAACAGTTGCTTCTTATGATACTCATATATGGCATGCATTTTTTGGCACAGTCGGTTCCAATAATGACCTCAACACCCTTGCAAGCTCTCCGATTCCAATATACTCATTTTTTGTACTATTTATGTTTTTCCTAAAATCTTTATGTATTTCTGGAACTTTTATGTGCCTTAAAAATATTTGAGTTTAATATATATAGTGTATTCCTAAGATCTTTAATATGTATTTCTGTAATATATATGTATTTCGAAAATATATTAGTATATAATTTTTTAATTACAGTTATATATATATATATATCTGCTAAAATAGTGATTGCGTTATTAAAATAGTATAAAATATAAAAGTATTAGTTATGCGCATGAATAAGTAATTACAATTTTATAAAACTGCGAAAATATATTAGTTTTATATAGTATATTAGTATTAAAATAGTTATATAAAAATTATTAATATATACTTTATGAATTAAAATGAAATAATGGAATAGTTTATAAGTTACCAAATCGGCTAAGTTCGACCCACTCGTCGAGGTTGCGTTCGCCTTCTGCACATAAGCTTTCCATGTAGAGCATTGGTGATTGATGATCTTGAAACAGAACTCAATATAATCCCGACTCCGTGGAACGTCACATTTTTGCGAAAATGATTCGTGAATTGGCCCCAAAAACTCTCCCCCGATTGATTTATGCCAATCACACCATCTTCGGATATGCTTACCCAAACGTTGCATAGAGCAACATCCTCACTAACACTCCAATTAGCACGTCTTCTTGAGGTGTTTATATAGGATTTTTGGACAAAATATTAATTAAAAATAATGGAAAAATAAAATAAATTATTTTAACCGTTTGATTTCAATTTCAGCCGTTGGATCAATTTTTTTCCAATTCAAACAGTGTCCAAATCATTACAACCTTTGGATCTACCAATATTTTTAAAAGTTATTGCTGTGTGACATCACAAAAATTAAATCTCCAACCCCTTCTTGCTCATTCCACAGACGGTCCCATCCCTTTTCCCCCTCTGCCCACAGCCCCCACTCCCCTTCTTTTTCTTTAGCATCCTCCTTTTAACATCCTTCATTAATAAATCCCTCCATCCACTTTTACTTCCCTCATTTAGCCTACCACTACAAGAATTTAGGAGTCCAAAAATTCTAATTTTAACATTTTGGACTCCTAATACCTCACCATCCCAAATGGTCTAACGACGTGCTTATGTACATAGACAAATAGACAATTAGGGGTGTGCACAAATTATGTGCCGAAATGACTTTTCCATCGTTTAATACGTTTAATTTGTACTAACTTTTTCTCTTCTCCAGACTCCATTTTATCCATTTATAAATTTATTATGTTATTTCATTTTACAAAAGTGAAAAGTGAGTACACTTTTATTCCACCAAAATACACCCATCCATCCATGAAGATGAATTTGCGGCTTCGTACCCTCTCTTGAGATTTTATTTCACATTGACCATGTTCATGGTTCTCTTCCCCGCACCGGCGCTATCATTAGTCAATTTTTTTTTTTCTTTTTAATTTACTTATTCGCTCTAAGTGGGACGAAATAAATTAGTCAGCACTTTGCCAGATTTTGCCTTAAATTTCAAACTGCTAAAGATTTCAATGTCACCTACTACCATTGCTTTCTCTATCACCTAACGTGGCATGACATAGGCCCAAACGTTCCTTTTTTTGACCATATCATCAACGATAACAAAAAAAGGGTGAGAGTAGCACCTATAAAAAATAAGATGTAGGAGTCTCGTTTGAGGTGGTTTGAGCATGTGTGTAGAGATCGAGTAAGCACCTTTAGACGACTTGACAGGTGGGAAGAAGAGACAAAGATGAGAGGGAGAGCAAGATCCAAACAGACTTGGATTAGAGGAATCAAAACTAATATGCGTCTCCTTGAGTTGGATGAGAGCATGACTTTGGAGAGAGCAAAATGGAGGGCGCACATTTGTGTGGACGGTTGATCTCTTTTCTATCTTTTCTCTCTCTTTTTATTTTATCGTTTATGTTCTTTATTTTTTTATGTTTTAATGTTATTTTTATCTTCTAGCTTTTTTAGGGGGTGTTTGGAACCGATTCTGATTCTGCTTCTTTTTTAAAGAAAAAGCAGAATCAGTTTTCAGAAGCTGATCACCCTCAGCTTCTAAAAAAACTGATTGTAGGAGTAAATTAGAGCACCAGAATCACTTCTGCACTTTTACCCAAACACTCCAACTTCTGCTTCTGCTCCCTGAAGGAGCAGAAGCAGTTTTAAGAATCAAATCCAAACACCCCCTTATGCTCTTTTATCTTTTATCTTTCTTATATTCTTATGTTATTGTTATCTTGTATTCTTTATCTTATTCGTTTTATCTTTTTTCTTCTTCTTGTCTGTCTTCTCTTTTTGGCATGATAACATGGATCGATTCATGTTAGCCAACCTCAAAATCTATTGGGATTAAGGTTTATATGTTGTTGTTGTTGATCAACAATCGTAAAACTATCGAAGATATTCCTACAAAGTTCTGTAATTGGCCTGGGCAAGACTGGCGGATTGGGTCCCTGGTACTCATGATTCTTCAACCTAAATCAATTGCCTCCCAATTGCCCTTCAAATTGGATTTTTAGTCACATCATCAATGGTTTCATACAACTTAAAAGGTAATGATAAATTAGCAAGGGTAAGATATAAAAAGTGACTTTTTCTGAGAGTAGAAATTCAAGCAGAGCAGCAGAGCAGCAATGTCTATTCTTCGGTCTTCCTATTTTTCTCTTTTTTACATAGCAAGCTTTTCTATCTGCGATTATCCTGCCTTTAATCACTCCAATGCATTAACTGAACATTTTCACCTTCTTTCTTGTATTGCTAGATTTGGATGAGAGGATGAAGCTGTTGGGGTTGAACTTGATTGGGGAAGGCAATGATAGTGCAGATGACAGTTTCGCAAAACGTGCAGACTGCTACTACCAGCAACGTCCTCAGCTGATTGCTTTGCTCCAAGATTTGTACAATAGTTACCTATCCCTGGCTGACCGTTACTGCCAGTCACTGGCGAAAACTCACCACCATTCAGCTCTGTCCATCCACTTCGCCGACATTCACCGCGAAGATCTCGACCGGGGGGGAGACAATGCCATTGATTCATCTGATGATGCCGAGAGCTCTCTATCTTATCAACCACCACTGGGCCAGTTCCACCACCATCAAGCAAAAGCTGGGGACCCGGATATGATTATCGCTGACTTAGTGATGAAAACGGTCGAGTGTGACATGATCCTTGATGAGCTGGAGCAGTTGGAGAGACGCGGGGTGGAGTCGTCTAGGAAGATGGAGTTGCAGAGGAGCCTGCTGGATGTGCTCGAGGCCGAGAGGTTGATTTTACTGAACGAGAATGCCAGGCTCGGGTACCAGGTCTCTGAGTTGGTGGAGGAGAACCAAGGGCTGGCGTCCGAGTCTACTTTCATGAAGAGGAAGGCAGCCGACCTGGCGAGGTGCCTGTTGAAAATGAGGGAGGACCACAGGGTTTTTGTGCTCAGCCGGAAGCTCGAGGAGCTTCAAGGGCAGATACAAGGGCTGGAGAAGAGGAATAGAGAGTATTATGAGCAGTTGGTCAAGCACGATGAAGTAGAGAAGAAGAGGAACAACAACAGCGCAAAGAAGGTGAAAGGCTTTAAAGGTTGCTGTTTTCAAGTCCATGATGGAGTTTTTGCTTCTTCTTCTTCATCATCCTCTTCTTCCTCTTCTTCGGCTGCTTGGTTTAGTAGCAGCGGTGGGTCAGCTGGTGGTAATTTCGCTGGTGTCAAGAAAAAAATCGTTCAGCATGGGAACAATGGCAGTGGCAAAGGGCTGTTGGAGAGGTTCAAGAAGTTTGAAATCTTTCCATGTGGACCTCACTAATTTCATCTCACATGCTATCGTACTACTTAAGCAAAACTCTATTTATGACCGTTGATGTAGTAATGTAGTTAGAGGCAGGTCGATTAACCAAAGGAAAGAGGGATGAACTTGAAGGCATGGCCAACTAGTTTAATTGCTCTTATATTGGCGAAAATGAGCGCCTTTTTTGTACACTAATAGCCGGCAACTGATTAGCAAACAATCCTTTTGAAGACAATGTAATGTTTAGTAGCACTTATATATACTCATCCGATAGTTCCGTACTTCAAAAGAGTACCAATCTATGTTGGAGCGGTCTGTCGCACCCATTAGGCATATTTCTCCTTGAGCTTAGCAATCCGAAAAGATGAGAAAAGATGTAGGGTATTACTACTATTCAGGCAATCTGGTACATTACTACTATTCAAAAAGAAAAGATGAGACAATCTTAGTGAGATGTAGGGTATTATATATATCCAGGCAATCTGGCACATTACTACTATTCAAGTCAAATATGAAGTTCAAAAAAAGAAATATGTGCCTCAGATTGGCTAAAGTACACAATGAATAGTCTCTAAGAGACTCAAACCTAATGAATTGCAAGCATTTGTGTAAAAAAACAGCACCATCAAACCAAACCGAATTAGCGTCCAAAGACAGCACCAAGTACTGTCTTTGGAGGAGTATGGTTATAACATTAAAATATTGAGAACATGTGATACAAGAAAAATTAAATTCAAAACTTGTGGTCATTTTTTTCTGTTCAGATTTACTATTATCAATCCAAATGTAGCATTAGTTTGATGTATTGTCAGGTGGACTAGATGTATCCAAGTCACATTAGCAAATGGAAAAAAAAATACAAATGCCCTCCAGGATTTTGCAATGTAAAGAATCTCTAGAAGACTTGTACCATAAAACAAGATAGGGATTTCTAATTTTGTGCACATTGGAATCAAAGAAAAAGTAAAGCGTGGATGTACCAGATAAAATCAGATGTAAATTAGTAGGAGAGCTTAATGACCTCACCTAATTCAACATATGAGATATGTAGAGAAAAGAGTAAAATACCTTCAGGGCTGTCAAGGCCAAACATTCCTCGGATTGCTCGACCGATAGCTTAGGAACGGTGAAATTGTTGAACAAGGCAGAGGTAGACCAAATCTGGCTTGCTGAGTAGCCACCTCTTTCTACAACATCATGAACCGGATCCGCCAGTGAGATCCGGTCAACCTGGTCAGACAGCTGGACGGTGGGTATATCACCCGCACCCTGTCCGATTTCTTGAACAACTTGGAAGTGCTCAGGAAATTGTTTCATTTGATCAGAACCAAACCGATCATCGACCAGCATGGCATTGAATTGGTCCTGATGGACATGTTGTATTGGTTGTGGCTCTGGAACTGGTTGAGAAGACCCAACATCCTGAGCAGTAACAGTAGAGGGAATAGGTTGGGGGTTCTTCCTGGCTTTCTTACGCTTGCCAACCCCATCAGCTGCCAGAACTCTGCTGTTATCCATGGGTAAGTCTGGATTTGATGCTGAAAAATAACAAAGGGAAATGTTAGTACCGAGCGGCCTTAGCGTGTGAGAAACTAGAAAAAAGAAAAAGAGAACGTTTCTCGCACGGGAAGGACCGCCCGGACCATGGCACTTGATTTCTCAAAACAAGTAAACCCAAGAGAACGGGCAGTACCTATCCCGGCTTCGACTAGCCGATCGGGAGTCAGATAACTCATGATATCCATGCATTTGTCTTTCTCCACAGCAAGCACATCCTTGTAAATTTCTTCAGTAAGGACTGGATCAGGAGTTTTGCGGGGGAAGGCATTCCATTTGCGGGGAACTAGGCCGTCCGGGACAGACACGAAGAAAAACTGGTCTTTCCACCCCTTGATTGAAGTTGGATTGCCCTTGAACAGAATATGTCCCGTTCGGGCACTAGTGGCCAGATAGCCGTGTGTTTGTTGAGGGGCTACCTTAAAAAATTGATGGAAGAGATCTAAGGTCGGTCGGGCACTGGCATCCTTACAACGGCAAATAAAGCCCGCCATTGCCCGATAGGAATTCGGCATAATTTGGGCCGGTACAATTTCATAGAAATTAAAAAATGAAACGAAAAAAGAATGTAGCGGAAACCTAAGCCCGACCCTAATTGAGTCAAAATGAACTACAACCATCCCAGGCCTATGACGCGTTGGGTGAAGCCCAGCTCACAGTCGGAAATTCACAGGATCTGGGATTAGGGCCGGAATTTCGACCCTATTGTGGGAGGTCAGTTTTTGCCGCCTCTCCCTAATCAGTTTTAGGTCGAGGGTATGGCGAGGGAAATCGTTAGGACGTCCGGCCGCCATGGAAATTAATTCATCCTCGGACTTGGTATCATCGGAATCTTCACTGGAGGAAGAAGAGCTTTCGGAGGAGTCATCCATCTCCGCCCTAACCTCCGTCGTCGCCGCCTTGGAACCTTCATCAAATAGGACGGTGATAATCTCCACATCACGGTCCTCCCCTTGAGAAGCCATTTCCGAATCAGAACATCGTTGGGAATTCATCTCGACCGAGTCAGGGGTGAGGCGAGAAAGCAAGGGAGGGAAAGTACCTGAGCGACGATTGAGAAGTTTGAGAAATCCATATTCTAATAATACATGTCCAACTTTCATGAGTACACATTAATATACACACTTTATAGACCCAAATGAATCATTTCATACACATCACAACATTAAAAAAATACAGTCTAATTTACGAGTTTTTTTAGCATTAATACGGAAAAAAACACCTCCAAATCTACATTACAAAACAAATATTAAAAAAATGTATATAACAATGAATTCAACATCAACATTCAACACTTCATACATATTCACATTACACAACAAATCAATTCACAAATGAATTCCTAATTTACAAAATCGAATTTTCGGTATTCTAAACCCTAACACGAAAAATGAGATAAAATGGAGAAATTTGTTTACCTAGAATGTTGAAGAAGATGAAAGTGAAGTAGTATTGACAAGATAGGGAGGCCTCGCTGTCGCTCGCCGGAGATTAACCTTCGCCGGAGTCGGGGGGGGGGGGGGGGGGGGAGGGGGGGGGGGGTGTCGCCGCACATCGCTCGTAGCTGCATAGAGTTTGGGGATTTGGGGATATTTGCATTCTGTCTGGAACATCCAACCCGACTTTCTGTTTAAGAGGTAAGTCGTCAAACGGTTAGACGACATACCCCGACCAGACTTAAACTCAACAGTAGATCGATAAATACTTTTCACCCAACATTATTTTCGTAATTAATCAATTAATTAGCATTAATTCGCAAAAAAAAACTCTTTGTGAAATCCTTCTGACTCTTATAACAGCTGTGTCACTCGACTCGATCTTCTGTTCATGGGGAACTCTTCTAATTGGAACTTGGAACTGAATTTCTCGCACGCAGGTTGTTCGACAAAACGCTTGTGCAAAGATCAACAAATGCATGTCCTCTCCCTATTGGGAAATTGGTAAATTAACAGAAGGGTAAGGTTTTAGGGTTTCAATGGTGGGAAAGGCTGCAATTTCGTTTGCGCGATTACTTGGAGTTCCTAGTCGCGAAGCAAATCGATCCTGGCAGAGAGGACATTCTCGCTTTATCTATGACGGTAGCTTGAGGCTGTCTGCGGCGCTTAACTACTCTAGCACTTCGAAAGTCGCAGAAGAAGCAGAAATCTGTGGGTTGGAGAAGCATTTTTTGGTGGACTATCTCAAAGGCTCACTCAACTTCTCCCAAGACGATGCTATCTCCGCAGTTTCCAAGGTAACCACACGTAAATGTCAATCCAGTCCTGCTTTAGTTGTTGATTATCTGAAAGGGATAGGTATGGAGCTGACCCACATTAAGGCTGCTGTGTCCAAGCATCCGAGATTGCTATTAGTTGACCCTGACAAAATCATTCACCCAAAAATTCAGTGCCTGCAAGAACTCGGGCTATCCGGGCCAGATCTTGCCAATTTCATTGTGAGAGATGCTTCTTTTCTTTTTAGAGGACTAGAGACTCATTTAAGACCTATCATAAACTTTGTTAGACAAGTGTCCGGTGGAAATAAGAATGCTGTGAAAGCTCTGAAGAGGTCTGGTCGGTTGCTTTCGTTCGGAAGACTCAAACTTATGGAGGAGAATGTACGGGTGCTGCGGGATTCTGGCATTCCAGAGGATAAAATTCAATGGTTTCTAGTCACAAGACCAAATTATTTAACAAAGAATTCAGACAGGTCTTGCAAGATGGTGAGCATGGTGGAAAATGAGATTGGGATACCCAGAAGTTCCTCAATGTTTTACAGTGGGTTGTGTGTTGCATCTCAGATGAGCGTCTCAACAGTGAACAAGAAATTCGAAATCTTGAGGAGCTTAGGGTGGAGTAAATCTGATATTTCTAATTTGGTGCAAAGACAACCTAGCTGCTTAATGCTATCTGAGGCCAGGCTGAGGAAGAAACTGAATTTTTTAATGAAAAAGCTTGGTTATGGGCCTCATTACCTGGCTGATCGCCCCATGCTTCTACTGTCTAGTTTGGAGAAGAAGACCATCCCTAGGAGTCAAGTGTTGAAAACACTTGAAGAACATCAGCTGAAAGTGTGCTCTCTCTTTACATCCCTATTTTTTACTGAATCACAGTTTTTGGTGCGTTATCTTATACCATACAAGGATAAACTGCCTAATATGTATGAGAACTACAGAACAAGTATTGAGCAGTAGAATATGTGGCTTTTTCTTCATTGATGCAATTTGCATCTCTCTACATCATTTGTTCTTACTACTCTCACGGGGATGACTAATTTATCTCCTGAACTGGTTTTGCAGAAGTTTTCTTCGTATTTGATGAACCATAACATCAATTTGCTTTTTATCTCCAATTACAATTGACAAAGACATGTTGCATTTCACCATTTGAACTGAATTTTTTGATCACTTTGATTATTGGCTTTTGGCTTGTGTAGTGTTTAAATGTTGCTTGTATGACCAGTTTCTTCTAGTTCGCATGTGCCTTAAAATTGATTTATCTTGTCTTTGTGTAATACGGAGTATTAACTATGTTGCTTTAACGATTTCACGGCTGATTTTGGATGCCACCGTAAAGCTGAATCCGAGTGCGAACTGCGAAGGGTTCCATTCACCACTGCTTCTTAAAATTTTGGAACCAGGAGTAAATATTTATATCTGAGAATATTTTTGTTGAAAATATATTTTTAACTAAACTAGTATAGTACCGTGCATACATGAGGGGTAAGGGTAAATTCGGAAACTGAAAAAGTTTAAAGTGTCGCTTAATTAATACATGAGAGGTGGTATGCTTAGTAAGCGGCACTTTAAGCACCTGTTTCGGTTAGTAAGCAACTTGTTCAACAGCCCGCATGTTTACTCTACCTATATTACTAACCTAACTGTGACTTTAGCAGTGAAGTAAACACGTCCTTAGTTTTATGTTAAGCACTTTATCGTTGGATGATATCATTGTGACACTTAAAGAAGATTATTGATTCAAAATGCATTCCATTTAAAGATGTTTGTATTTAACCGAACATATATTATTATAATATGTAAGAATATACCGTGTACTTTTTATGTTTAATGAGCAAGTGGAGTGAGATAGACTTGGTAGTAATATTAGGTAGGGGTGGACTCGGGCCGGGCCAACCGGCCCGGAACCGGACCGGCCCGCCACTGTGCGGGCCCGGACCGGCCCGCCACTGTGCGGGCCCGGACCGGCCCGGGAACCGGTTCGTTGGGTGGTTCGGGCCACCCGGCCCGGTGGATTCTCGGTTCGGGCTCGGGCCCTTCAAAAAGTGAACCGGCCCGGCCGGGCCAATTTTAATTTTTTTTTTTGAATTTTTTTTGAGTTTTTGGGTTGGGCTGGTTATTTTGGGCCATTTGAGGTGGTTAGGGTTGGTTTGGGGGTGAGGGGGAGGGGTGGGGATTAACTAGGAAAAGCCCAAAAAAAAAATATATACCCGAGGCCCGGCCCGGACCCGGGGTTACCCGGGCCGGTTCCGGGCCTCCCCTTCTTGAACCGAGGCCCGGTCGGGCCCAGGCCCGAACCGGGCCCGAACCGGCCCGAGTCCACTCCTAATATTAGGAAGGGCCTTCCATTCTTCAGTACTTTGTACATATATTGTGTACACCCTCTCCAGTTGTCTATTTACAAGACAACTTCTGAATGAATTGCTTGTATGTACATAGAATATGTGTACAAGTAGGGGTATTGAAACAATGGGTTGGGTACGTAATATGGGTTTGGAGCGGGTTAGAGCCGGTTCTTTTCGGAAAACCCAAATAGGGCGGGTCTTAAAAATGTTAGGAACCGTACAAGTACTAGAATTTGAAAAAACAAGTATCCGGACTAATACGTTTCAAAATATATTTTTTAAAAGAAATCTACTATATTTAATATAATATACTGACAACAATTAAAAAATTCATATCCATGTATCTATTAAAATAGTTTAAAATCCATATAAACTTCTAAATAATTATTCCAATTCTTTATTCCAAATGCATCCAATTCTTTTTTTTTTTTTTGAAGCAAAAGAGTTATGCTCAACAAAGTGTGACATATTCATTTAATTATCTTAATTTTACTAGCATTTTGAGATTTATTAATTAAGCTTTAAATTGTTTCTTAAACATATGTGTATAGTGACTAGTCTAATTTCTTATGACTTTGTGGTGCTATCTTTATGGATGATGTCTAATTCTCTACATTTCAAAGATTGGTGTTATTTAATTAGTGTGATTTTGTGGTGTCTAAGTTATACATTTGTTTTTAGATATTTTTTCAACTTATTCAAAACTTTGTTTTATATTTTCATTTTGAATTTTTATTATATTATGGTGATATTGATACTTAGTCAACCTAAATAATTTATTACCTACTCGATATTTTGTTAGCGTAGCAGTAGTTTTAAATAAGCACAGAGAATCTGAACCGAATCGACCCATTTCGAACGAGCGGGTAAGGTTCGATTCTTATTTTGAGACTTCGTATACCGAATCGGACCTATATTCGTTAAATAGAATCGACGATTATTGAAAATTTATCAATAACTGATTTAGGGGGTGTTTGGAACTGGTTCTGCTTCTGCTTCTTTTTTAAAGCAGAAGCAGAATCAGTTATCAGAAGCTGGTCTCCCTTAGCTTCTAATAAACATGATTCTAGGAGTAAATTAGAGCACCAATCATTTCTGCACTTTCATGCAAACACTTCACCTTCTACTTCTGCTCCCTGAAAGAGAAAAGCAGTTTTAAGAATGAGATAGAAACACTCCCCAAACGTAGTTTTAAGAATGAGATAGAAATCATAACTTCCAGCCTAGCTGGTTGTGAGGTTACTCATGCATAGGAGAGGTCTCATGTTGGAGTCCCACTAACACCAGTAGTTGGGTTTCTGGGTAAGGGGCCGTGAAAGCGGTGGAGCTAGTCACTATAAAAAGTTTACCCATGTCTTAGTTTTACCCGCACGAGTATCTCAGTTGGTTGAGTGACGGGAATTTGGATCAAGGAACCCTGTTTAAGTCCCCGCAACGATCGTGTGAAGGTCACAACCTCTGAAATGGGCTGGACCTACAACTGCTCCGCTGACTGAGTCACTATGATATAATCCTCCACCTGGCATGTGAGGTCGGGGTGCTGTGGCTCCACGGAGATTTCACCTTTTGATAGAAACACTCCCCAAACGTACAATTGCAATTTTGGTCCATTCTTGTAGGCTTCTGATAAACTCAACCTCCCTGCCACTGATTAAAATCATCTCCTCTCCTTTGAACAAGACACGCTGAAGACCTAAAGAACAGTTCGGGGTAGAACTCTGCAGCTTCGGACATAGTGGTTGACCATTTGCGGAGTATTTTGATGTCGGATCCGTACGAGAGAGCGAAAGCAGGTAGGCTAGCCTTCAAGGGAGGCGACCTTGCAATACGCACCAAGGCTATCGAAAAGAAAAAGAAGAAGAAAAAGAAGTCCTCAGCAGATGATTTCGTTTCCGACGAGCCATTGTCAGGCGACGCCGCCGTCGCCGCTTCGGAACTGGGTTCGGGTTCATGTCCGGATGGAGGGGATACCAATATTTACACCATTGACGCGGCCAAGAAGATGAAGTACGACGAGTTGTTCCCTGTTGAAGCTAAGAAGTTCGCGTACGACCCCAAGGCTAAAACGAAGTCTGTTGAAGAAGCCCTTGATGATCGGGTCAAGAAGAAAGCTGATCGCTACTGTAAATAAAAGGTCACGCTTTTAGGTAAAATAGACAAATTTTACTGGTTTCTGTTTCTATTTACAGTTTTGTATACATTTCGTATTAGGGTTTTAAAAAGTCTCTAATGTTTTCTGTTTGTGAGTTGTGATCTGAATGTCTTTTGGTTGGGCAACCATTCAAGGAGTATATTTCGTGCGGTGTACTTGATTACTTTGGGCAGAGTACCTAAACAGAAGTTCTGTTTGACATTATATTATACCACTCCCTTTTATGAGTCTTATTATGGGACAATGTAGGGGCAAATCAGCTGTATTTTTAATTTATTTTTTTGAAATATGTAATTTTTTAATATAACAAGCAAAATGCAACATAAATATTTAAAGAATAAACAAAAGGCGCAAAGTATTTTTTTCAAAGAAGAAGCTAAGATAAAAGATGCGGTTTAACGATTGAATATTAATCCTTTTCAGGTGAAAAGAGGGGAGGGTGTTAGTATGTGATAAGGGAAAGGTAACATAGGATAGGATTTGATAGCATAGATGGGTTTAGAGATCCTGCACTCCTGCAGTGATGCTGTAGGGTAGCCAATTGCAGTTAGCTCGTTTGTACATCAACTCTTTCCAAAGGGTTCTGTTAATGCCTATAGGGTCTTTGGTTGTGGATTATCACCAAAACTGTTCTCTTATGCACAAGTTATATTTGAAATAGATTACCAGAGATTAGCCCTCAGATGGCACATTTGGTAACTCGTAAGGTTTGAAAATAGCTAACTTGTACACAATAACTACCACAAAGAAAAAAAAAGTATGGCAGTCATTGGTTGTCTAGGGCACATTTTGGGATTAAGGCTTGGATGTTGTTTGTGGTAGTTATTGTGTACCTTAAATGTCTAAGCTTTTGATGTGCATCTAGTGTTCTGTCAGTTCTCATAGTTGTTTCTTGTTCTCTTCAAATAACTGAGCTACAAGATGAGTACCTGCAGTTTTTACCTACTCAATGAGTCATAGCACTCCATGAGTTACTTGATTTTTGTTAAATGTTGAAGATTAAAAATAAAATTAGGTCATTATGAGATTAAAATAGAACTTAGGAACTTCTATTTAATAAAATACTCTTTCAAATATACAGTGAAATTTTAGCATGTATTTTTTAAAGATTTACTTATAAAGAGCCACAAGTAAATGAGTAATTATGGGTTACTCTAGAGGAGTCCTGATCAGAACTTGTCCTTTGACCTAGTAGGCAGTAACTGCAGAATATTAGTGAATTAACTACTAAGCCCAATCTTATTGTTACGTTTGGTGTGTTCACCTAAGGGTCTTGGAGAATTGAACCTGGCAAGTTGGTCACGTAAAACTAGGGATGGACTCGGGTCCGGGCCGGCGGTTCAAGAATAGTGGACCCGGGACCGGCCCGGGTAGCCACCGGGTCCGGGCCTCCGGTTTGGATTTTTTTTTTTTTTTTTGCTTTCCTAACCCCCCCCCCCCCTCACCCCCACCCTCCCAAACCCCCCAAACCCATCCTACCCATCAAGCCCAACCCGGGTGGAACCCCAAAAATGAAAAAAAAAAAAAAAAATCAATTTGGCCCGGGCCCGGGCCCGACCCGGCCGGGCCGGGCCGGTTCACCAAAATTGAGACCCGAGCCCGGACCCGCCCTACCCCCCGGTCCCGCACAGTAGCGGGCCGGGCCGGTCCATGGGCCGGGTGGCCCGATCCGAGTCTAAGCCTATGTAAAACTGATAAAGACTATGAAGGTCTAAGTGTCTAACCATATCTATGTACGCAAGCTACTGTTGCACAAATT